AAAAAACCCCAGAGTCCCCAAGATTATTTAAAATTCATTATAGAACAGAACACTGGAAAATCCTGAGTTCCTTTAAGAAATTAAACACTAACTGCCCCCAAGATTTCGTCAAATTCTTCAAAAAGTCAAACTCTTTAAAAAATAAAACACCAGAAATCCTCGTAAAACACCGGGAGAGTCCAAGATTCTTTTAAACCCAAAACATCAGATTTACCAAGATTATTTAAAATTCGTTATAAAACAAAACACTTAGGAGTTCCTAAGATTCTTTCAAATTCTTTCAGAAATAAAACACCAGGAAGACTCCACAATTCTTTCAAATTCATTCCAAACAAAACACTGGGAACAATCAAAATTCTTTAAAATAATTTAAAAATAAAACAAAGATCAATTATAAAACACCATGGACCCTCAAGATTCCTTCAATTTCCCGAAAAAACAAAAGATCAAGGATCTCCAAGACTTTTTAATTTTTTTTCAAAAACAAAACACCAAGGTCTCTACAATTTTTTCAAATTCTTTCAGAAACAAAACACCAGGGCCCCCAAGATTATTTCAAATTCTTTAAAACATAAAACACCACGGGTCCTCAGGATTCTTTCAAATTCCTTAAAAAAACAGATATTCCTAAGATTCTTTCAAAGTCATTCTAAAACAAAATACGGAGACCCTTAAGATTCTTATAAATTCTTTCAAAAACAAAATATCAAAGATGCCAAGATTTTTTTAATTATGTATTTATATATAACAGCAAAACTCTTCGAATTCCCAAAAAACAAAACACCAGGGGCTCCCAAGATTCTTTCAGATTCTTTCAAAAACAAAAAAACACTAAGGTCTCCAATATTCTTTCAAATTCTTTAAAACTCAAAACACTAGGAACTCTTAAGATTTTTTCAAATTCTTTCAAAAACAAAACACCGGAGCTCCCAAGATTATGTAATTTAAATTGATTTTAGAAAAAACACTGGAAGCCCCCAAGTTTCTTTCAAATTCTTTAAAAAATAAAACACGAGAGAGGCCCCAAAATTCTTTTAAATTAATTTTAAAACAAAACACCCACGCCCCCAAGATTTCGTCAAATTCTTCATAAAGCAAATACTTACATATCAAGATTCTTTCAGTCTTAAAAAAATGAAACACTAGAAAGCCCCATAAAACACTAGGAGGGCCAAAAACTTTTTTAAATTATTTTCAAAAACAAAACACCAGAATTTTCAAGACCATTTAGAATTCATTACAAAATGAAACACTGGGAGTTCCCAAGATTTTTTCAAATTCTTTTAAAATTAAAACACCCAGGAGACACCAAGATTCTTTCAAATTCATTCTAAACAAAGGACTGGAAACCATCAAGATTCTTCAATAAAAATCCCAAGGTTATTCAATTTCTTTTAAAAATAAAACTCCAAGCCACCAAGGTTCTTCCAAATTCTTTGAATAACAAGACACTTTGAACTCTTATTGTCTCTTTAAAATTATTTCAAATTCTTTAAAAAATAAGAGATCAGAGCTCCCAAAATTATTTCAGATTCTTTCAAAAATAAAACGCCAGAAGTCCCTCAGATTCTTTCAGTTACTTGCAAACTTAAAACACCATGAGTCTTCAAGATTTCTTCAAATTCTCGAAAAAACAAGAGACCAGGGATCTCCAAGAGTCTTTTAAATTTTTTCAAAAACAAAACAACAGAGCCCCCTAGATTCTTTCAAATTCTTTTAGAAACAACACACCACCAAGATTATTTCAGATTCTTTAAAAAATAGAACACCAGAGATTCTTTCAAATATTTTCATGGACCCTCAAGATTCCTTCAAATTCCCGAAAAAACAAAAGATCAAGGATCTCCAAACTTTGAAGTTTTTTCAAAAACATAAAACACCAAGATTCTTTCAAATTCCCGAAAAACAAGACCAGGGGTTCCTAAGATTCTTTCAAATTGATTCTAAAACAAAACACTGGGAGCCCTTAAGATTCTTTTAAATTCTTTCAAAAACAAAACACCAAAGATCGCAAGATTTTTTCAAATTGTTCAAAAAATAAAACACTAGAACTCCCCGAGATTCTTTCAATTATTTTCAAACATAAAACACATAGCTATCCAGTATTCTTTGAAATTCTCTAAAAATGAAGACACTAGGAACTCTTAAGATTCTTTCAAATTCTTTCAAAAATAAAACACGAAAGGGCCCCCAAAATTCTTTTAAATATGCTCTAAAACAAAACAATAACGACCCCCAAGATTTTTTGAAATTAAAAAAAAAACATCAAGGGCCACCAAAATTGTGCCAAATTATTAAAAAAAAATCCAAGATTCTTTAAAAAATAAACCACCAAAAGTTCCCGAGATTCTTTTAATGATTTTCACGCATGAAACACCATTCCAAATTCTTCGAATAACAACACATTTTGAACTCTTATAATGACTCTTTCAAATTAATCCAAATTCTTTGAAAAAAAAAGACATCAGAGCTCCCTAAAACACCATGGGTCCTCAAGATTCCATCAAATTCCCGAAAAAATAAAACACCAGAGCCCCCAAGATTCTTTCAAATTCTTTCAAAAACAAAACACCAGAGCCCCCAAGATTATTTCAGATTTTTTAGAAACTAAAACACCAGAAGTTCCCAAGATTCTTTCAAATTCGTTCAGAAACAAAACACCAGAACCCCCAAGATTATTTCAAATTCTTTAAAAAATAAAACACTAACAATTTTTTCAAATATTTTCAAACATAAAACACCACTGGTCCGCAGGATTCTATCAAATTTATTCTTGAACAAAACACCTAATTTTTTTAAATTCTTTCGAAAACAAAACACCAAAGATCCCAAGATTTTTTCAAATTCTTTCAAAAATAAAACACCAGAACTCCCCGGGATTCCTTCAATTATTATTATTTTCAAACGTAAAACACCACGATTCTTTCAAATTCCCGAAAAACAAGACCAGGGGTTCCCAAGACTCTTTCAAGTTCTTTCAAAAACAAAACACCAAGGTCCCCAAGATTTTTCCAAATTCTTCAAATAATAAGACACTGAGAACTATGATTGACTCTTTCAAATTATTTCAAATTCTTTAAAAAATAAGATATTACAGCTCCCAAGATTATTTCAGATTGTTTAAAAAATAAAGCACCAGAAGTCCCCAAGATTCTGTCAGTTATTTTCAAACATAAAACACAATGGGTGCTCAAGATTTCTTCAAATTCCTCAAAAAACAAAACACCAGAGCCCCCAAGATTCTTTGAAATTCTTTCAGGAACAAAACACGACAGCCCCCAAGAATATTTCAAATTCTTTAAAAAATAAAACACTAAAGATTCTTTCAAACATTATTATCAAACATAAAACATCAGGATTCTTTCAAATTCCTCAAAAAACAAAAAAAAAACAGTGGTTCCTTTCAAATTAATTCTAAAAAGAAAAAACACTGTAAGCCCTTAAGGTTTTTTAAAATCCTTTCAAAAACAGAACACCAGAGCCCCCAAGATTCTTTCAAATTCATTCTAAAACAAAATACTGGGACCACCAAGATTATTTCAGATTCTTAAAAAACACAGAGATTCTTTCAAATATTTTCAAACATAAAACAACACGTGTTCTCAGGATTCTATCAAATTTATACTAAAACAAAACACTGGGAGCCCCTAAGATTTTTTAAATTCTTTCAAAAACAAAACACTACGAGTCTCAAGATTTCTTCAAATTCTTTCAAAAATAAAACACCAGAACTCCAGAGATTTTTTTCAATTATTTTCAACATAAACACTAAGGTTTTTTGATTCCCGAAAAAACAAAAGACAACAAACAAACAAACAAATTCTTTCAAAAATAAATTACCAAAGTCCCCAATATTCTTTGAAATTCTTTAAAAACAAGACACTCTTAAGATTTTTTCAAATTCTTTTAAAAACAAAACACCAGACCTTCCAAGATTATTTCAAATTCATTTTAGAAAAAAATATTGGAAGCCCCTAAGATTCTTTCAAATTCTTTCAAAAATAAAACACCAGAGAGGCCAAAAAATTCTTTGAAATTCACTCTAGAACAAAACAATAACGACCCCCAACATTCTTTCAAATTCTTAAAAAAACACCAGGGGCCACCAAAATTCGGCCAAATTCTTCAAAAACAAATATCAAGATTTTTTCAAAAATAAAACACCAGAACTCCTCTAGATTCTTTCAATGATGTTCAAACATAAAACACCCTGGGCCATCAAGATTCTTTTAAATTCTTTCAAAAACAAAAGACCAAAGATTCCAAAATTCTTTAAAATTTTTCAAAATCAACTAAGATTTTTTCAAATTCTTCACAAAATAAAACATTAGGGGTTTCGAAAACAAAGACTGGGAGCCCCAAGATTCCTTGAAATTCTCTTCGAAAGAAAGCTCAAGAACCCCCAGATTATTTCAGATTCAGAAAAAATCAGAACAATTAAATACAAAAATACAGAATTTTTATAAAACCGCTGTGTTGTATTACTTCGTATTATCCTTATTATTATCATCAAGATGGTGCTCCTCCTTATTATACTGTCGATGTTCGACACAAGTTAGATAATTTTTTCGCAGACATTGGGATTGATATGGATTTGCATATACTGGCCAGCGAGACCTCCCGACTTAACACCATTGGACTTTTTTTGTAACCGGCAGTTTATCAAAGCAAATTGAAGTTTTAAATATGGAATCGCAAAACACCAAACGTAGTTGCCAAATTTATCTCAATTTTTTTAATCGATTTTTTCCATTATATAACTTCGTTTGGTGAACCCAGTATGGTGTAGATAATAAGACAATAAAGTCAATAACAAAACATAAACACACGAATTATATCGCTCGGAGGTGCTATTATATGACGCCACTATAAATATCCTATCATAGTAATTCTGCGAAATATGTTATCATAAGATTTAATATTACTGGAAATTGACTTCTTAACCTTTTGTTGATATAGTATTGATAAATCTACTTTACCATCGCTGTTTTTTTTTTCAGACAACCGTCACCACCACAACCACAGTTGATACAACGATAGACATAAATTCAACCAACACAAATCCCTCAACCATCCCTTCCCAATCCCAAACCCTTCAACCAACCCACCCCCCAGTCCGAGTAATCGAAGAACTCAAAGGCCTAAACCACAATGTGAGTTCCGGCAAAATAATGATAATCGGAGACGATACCATCCAAATCCCCAACTTCCATTTCGATGGTACCGCCCCCACTGCCTTTTTCATAGTAGGAAAAGGCAACACTAT